GACTCAACAACAACTCCCCTTACTACAAAAAGTAGGTTTTTTAAAATTAAAAAAGCAACAAAATCTGATGAGGACACAAATGGATTAGAGAAATGAAAAGGAAATTACAAATTAGATGTGATTGCTATTATTTTTATTAAACTTTACATACTTTTTCTCCTTTTAGCAAGTTTAGCTATGATGGAAGCTAGGCTTGGAAAAGACATGAAACGTGAACTTTCTTTGCTGACAAAATCCTATAACACATGATCGAGGACATATTTTTTTAACAATTAGAAAAGAAAGTCAAGATTATTAAAAGCCAATTTGATTCTCAGAGTCATATTGACTTGCCCATAATGACTTGCCCAGAGTCATAAGGAGTAAATAGCAGAGTTGAGATTCAGATTCAAAGGTCATTGCCTTTTTGGATAGGTAGTTAGACTGTGGAGGTAGTGGGACAGTGGATAGAGGACTAGCCTTGCAGCCAGGAAGAATTGAGTTCAAATCCTGCCTGTAACATATACTGTGACAATGGGCAAATAAATCATTTACTCTCATTTCTTTAGGTGAATTTTAAGACTAGAAGTTATAGATGAAATACCTATGTACATCAATGGAAGGGTTTTCCACAATGAGATTCCCCACTCCAGTTGAATTGTAGGTTCAAACCAAAGAACCAACAAAAAATTAGACTAGTAAATTAAGGGAATAACGGATGTATAAATATATGCATATCTAGATAGAATCCCACAAAATGATTTTTCAAAGGCTCTCATGCTGTTTGAGAATCAGAAAAAAGGAAATATGGGCTTGAAGGTGAGTATGCTTTTCTGTCTATTATAAATGAATTTAATTAATTTTTAAAATGTGATTGTTTTTGTTGAGATATTTAATAAGTTTATAATAAAGATCATATAAAAAATAAACCCACCACAACTTTGTCTAGGAGTTACCAAACCTCACCCAGAAAAGAGAAAAAAAAAAGAGAGAAGCTTTGGTAGGCTCTAGTTTACTTTCTTGTGATAAGGGAACCATATTCAATGTTTAGTCCTATAATTATAGTACAAACATGAAACAATTTATTTTACCCTAAAAGTCTGCCTGATATAGTTTAAGAGTACATATGAAAATATGACCCATGTTGCTATTTATTGGATTTTGCTTTCTTCATCCGGGGCTTTATATCATTGGTAAGAAAATAGATGAAAAAACCTCACTACATTTATAGAAGACTAAAGATGGAAAAACTGTGGACAGACATAATTTGTGTTGTTGTTCAGTCATTTCACTCTGATTCTTCTGGCTTGATTTTTTAAAATAAATTTTTATTGATATTTTCTGTTTCTTACAACACCAAAGTTACCTAAGTATCCTTCCCTCTCTCTCTCTCAGAGAGCTATCCTATACAACAAATAATATTTTCCCTTGATTATTTCGTGGACCATATATCTTAAAGATCTTTCATCGGCCCCTAGTATGCAAGTGGAATTTTAAGAATGAAGAAATCAAAACAATTCATAGCCATATGAAAATGCTCTAAATCATTATTAATTAGAGAAATGCAAATTAAAACAACCTTGAGATATCATTTTACACCTATCAGGTCGGATAAAATGATTGAAGTGGAAAGTAACAAATGTTGGAGGGAAAAATTGGGATGCATTCATTGTTAGTGGAATTGTGAACTGATCCAACCATTTTGGAAAGCAATCTGGAATTATGCCCAAAGAGTCATTAAACTGCCTATGCCCTTTCACCCAGCAATGCTATTACTTGTAGTGGTACTTATACTACCACTACTATTTCCAAAGATGATTAGGGAAAAAAGAAAAGAGCCTATATATTCTAAAATGTTTATAACAGTTCCCTTTGTGGTGGCAAAGAACTGGAAATTGCCCATCAGTGGGGGAATGGCTGAACAAATTGTGATATATGATTGTGATGGAATACTACTGTGCTATAAGAAATGATCAGCTCAATGATCTTAGAAAAATGTGAAAAGACTTGCACAAAATAATGAAGAGTAAAATGAGCAGAATCAGGACAACATTGTATACAGTAACAGCAATATTGTTTTAAGAATGACCTTGAACAAGTAAGTCATTTTCTCTATTATAAATACCCAAATTAACTATAAAGGACATATGAAGAAAGATGCTATCTGCATCTAGAGAAAGAACTGAAAAATAGATGTATGTATAGAATTATTTTACATATATGTGTGTGTATATCTATGTATATATACATACATACACATACATGTATTTTATCTAATGGTAGCTATCTCTAGGGTGGGGGGAGGAAAGAAAAAAGAAATTTACATGATAACTTTATTATATATTTAAAAGGAATGGCAAATTGTACATAATAAATTTGCAGTTTCATGAGCAATCATCTTTTTTTAAAAAAATTATACTACGTTATGGAAATGCTTGTTTTATTCCATAACTTAAAAAATGAAATTATAAAAAGAATCTTCCCACCAATGTACATCACAAACTTGTCAATAATTTATAATCTTATAGAATTGACCATGGCACTTTGAGATTAAATAGTTTGCTCATGGTTACATAGACACGTAGGTAGAAGCAGCGCCTGAGTTGGCATCTTTAAGACTCTAAGGCTGACCTTCAATCCATCATTCTAACGTTGCATGTCCAGTTATTTTCCCCCCAATTGGGACATCACCAAATAATTCATTTCAGAGAGTAAATATAAGTTGAATGTATATATTTGTTCGATAAAAGGAATTCTACAAGATCCCACTGTATTGCTAATGGATTCAGACAGCTTTTTTTTTTTAGATTTTTTTCCCAATTACATGTAAAATTTTTTTTAACATTCATTTTTTTTTTAAATTTTGAGTTCCAAATTCTTTCTGTTCTTCCCTCCTCTCTCCCCTCCTTGAGAAGGCAAACAATTTGATATAGGTTATACATGTGGAGTCATATAAAACATATTTCCATAGATAGCTTTACTTCAGATAACTAATTTGTTTTGTTCTCTTGCGGTCAAACAATTCTCACGCTTTTGAATTGCCAGCATGTTTGATACTTATCTTCTGTGACAAATAAGATTCTAGAATTTCAGAGTTGTATCTTACTGTAAGTTATCATTTTGTATCCTACATTCTTCTGTGTGAACCACAAGGCTTGTTTGTTTTTTTAATCATATAAGTTGCTACTAGTTCATGCTGGGCAACAGTCTCATTCTTCTTGCCTAGCAGAAGCAGATTGTATATCATAGGATACAAGTTGGCAGCATCTAAAGACATAGTGGTACCTAATGGGCATTAGAGCTATCCCTCAAAACTCTTAAAGTAGCAGCTGAGGGGCCTCAGAAATCTCATCCATAGCCACCATAAGCTCATAGAATCTAGAGATAGAAGGGCTCTTACAGGTCATTTGGTGCAATCCCTTCATTTTATGAATTAAGAAGCTGAAGTGCAGAGAGGTTGGACTGTCCAAAGCCATACCCATACAGTAAGTGGCAGTGCCAGGGTTTGAACTTAGGCCCTGGGAGTCCAGTTCAGCATGCTTTCAACCAAACCGTGCTGCTTCAAGTAGGATAGGCGGCGAGGAAGATGTTCAGCTCTCATCTACAGCTATTTGCAGCAATGAGGATCAAAGCCAGGGTGAAGAATGGATTTTAGAATCACAAAATCTTGACATGGGCCTCAAAAAGGACATCTAGTCCAGTTTGCCTATACCTGAGCAGGAATATATTTTCTACATCTCTGACATAGGCTCATCCAATATCTGTGTGAAGACTTTCAGACTCCCTGCCTTCCAAACCTGCATATTCAACTTTATTGTTGTTCAGTCATTTCAGTCGTGTCTGACTCTTTGTGACCCTGTGGACCTCTGTCCATGGGGTTTTCTTGGCAAAGATACTGGAGTGGTTTGCCATTTCCTTCTCTAGTTACAAACAGGTTGAGTGAATCACCCAAGGTCACACAGCTAGGAAGTAAGTAGTACAGTGGATAGAGCACTAGGCTTGGCATCAGGAAGACTCATCTTCAGGAGTTAAATTCAGTCTCAGACACTTACAAGCCATGTGACCCTGGGCAAGTCACTTAACCCCGTTTGCCTCAGTTCTTCTTCTGTAAAATGAGCTAAAGAAGGAAATGGCAAACCACTCCAGCATATTTGCTAAGAAAACCTAGAATGGGATCATGAAGAGTCAAACACAACTGAAATGACTAAACAATAACAAACAACTTCCTGACTTCAAGCCCAGAACTCTATCTACTGTGCTACCTGGCTGTCCCATGTTAGGACAGTTTTAATTGTTCAGAAAATTTTCCTTATATTTAAACCTGCTTCTGCAACATCCACTCAATGCTCAGAGTTCTGCCCAAGTCAACAATATGGATGCTTCTTCAGGTACTAGGATACCTGGCACACAAACCAATTTCAATTTTGGGGAAGATTTCATTGAACTTTGAAGGGTCTTTTTATATGCTTCAATGCATCATATTAGCTAAAGCTCAGACAACTGAAAGTGCAGAGTGAGAAAATAAATTCCCAATGAGACATTTCTAAGTACACTGTAGCTTAATGTCACTCATATAGAAAATTGGACCAGAAAATTCAGATTTTTTTGGTTTATAAAGTGAAAACTTGGAATAGTGTCAGGGCTAATGTCATCGGCATTTTTTCCATTTTACTGTTCAAATTTGTATGGTATAATGAGCAACTTTCTTCAAAGTGGGTGATTTATTAATTTACTTTATGTGTTAGTGATCTCAAATCCTAGGACACTTATCACCACTACCACCCCCACCACCCCTTCAATTTTTGTTGGAATCACTCAAAAAAGAAAGCAAAATGTCCCTGTGGAATCAAGACTTTTTTTTTTTGCTACTTGGTTCAACACAATGGAAACTGACAAACAAATGAGAGTGTGTATCTGAAGTATGCCAGGTTATTCCTTGAGAAAGACATAGAATTTGTTTGTGTGTATGCTTACATGCAGGCACATAAATGCATAGTAGTCTGAGCATTGTCATATCTTACCGTATCACCAGGCTGTGGGCGCATCACTGACACCCGGTCATAACCTTTCCGTACCAGGACACAGAAGGCATCCAGTTTTCCCTGTAAAGAGAACAAATACATTGACACATAACTGATGTCCACTGAATATGGATCTCTAGCCATTTTTCTTCAGTGATGGGGAATACACTGGACTGAATTCAAGTTGCAGGTGGTGCTATCATGATATTTTATGAGGAAACACAGGGGTTCAATGTCTCTGGCTGCCTTGGTCCATTCTGTTGGGTTTCTAGTGACAATGGGCAAAAAATAATCTACTATGAAAATTGCTGTAAGAAAATAGTCATAGGATCACAGAAATGAGAGGCAGAAGGGATTTTTTTTTCAATCACTGAGTACAGTTCCCTTCATTTTAGGGATGAGGAAATTCCCAAAGGGGAAGCACTGGAGGGACTTATCAGTCAGTTGATAAGCATTTATTAAGTGCCTACTGTGTGCCAAGCACTATGCTGATTGCTGAAGATATAGAGACTAGCACAAGATGGCGTTGGCTTTTAAGGAGTTCACAGTCTAATTGGGGAGACACCATGCAAACAGCTGCACACAAACAAAATGAAGACAGGATAAATTGGAGATAGTCAACAGAAAGAGAGAACTAGGATTAAGGAGGATTGGAAAGGGCTTTTTATATAAGGTAAGGTCATAGATCACAGAATGTTAGAGCTGGAAGGGCCCATTGATCAAGTCAATAAGCATTTATTAAGCAGCCAGACACTGTGCTAAGGGTTGGGGTTACAAAGAAAGGTGAAAAAAAGTCCCTTTTCTCCGAGGGCTCATAGTCTAATGGAGGAGACATGAACAACTATGTACAAATAAGCTATATATAGGATGAATTGGAGAAACTCAGCAGAGGGAAAGCACTAACTTTAAAGGGGATCTAGAAAGGCTTCCTGTAGAACAGAGTTTCCCAAACTTATTTGGCCTACCGCCCCCTTAAAAAAATTACTCAGCACCTTACTGGAAATATACTTTTTTAAATCCTTTAATGATTTTTGTTTTAAAATTTACATCATTTCAAAAAAGTGTAAAATATATATTTTTTAAAAATGATGCATCTTGGGGCAGCTAGGTGGTGCAATGGATAGAGCACTGGCCCTGGAGTCAGGAGGACCTGAGTTCAAATCTGGCCTTAGACCAAACACTTGACACTTACTAGCTGTGTGACCCTGGGCAAGTCACTTAACCCCAACTGCTTAAAAATTTTAAAAAAATGGTGCATCTTAAACTTAATAATTTATTGTAAATTTGTGGGTTTTTTCTGCATTGAAATTTTTATGACACAATGTTGAGTCATATAACTGTACATCATAAATCATAAATTGTAAATCATTACACGCACATATTCCTGCCATGCATGCTGGACTTCCCAACAATGTCTGCCAACACTCGCTTGTTAAGACCTGTCAGGTGGACTTGACTACTGATCAGTTATAACTTGCATTTTGTATGTTTATTTGGAAAATAACCTAATCACTATGATTTTAATGCTGTTACACAACGGATGAAACACATATGAACAGTTTTTCAAAATTTTCCTTTCTTCTCTTCTTCCCTTATGCTTCCACCATCCCCTTGTTTTTATTCAATGTCCTACAATTGCACTTGAGGCTACTACCAACCCCACTGGATTGGTCTAGCGCCCCCAGGTGGCAGTATTGCCCACCTTGGGAACCTATACTAGAGAGTAAGGTTTTCTTGTTTGCTGGTTTGATTTTGTTTAGTTTAGTTTTGTTTTGTTTTAGCAGAGACTTGAAAAAAGTCAGGGACTTTGGCTTGGTACCCTTTATACAACAACTTCAAGTTGGTAAATGATTAGTAGATGGAGAATAATTGGAGGTGCAGTTTCCCAGACTAAATGTGTGGGAACAGTCTAACTCGGACAAATATATAATTCCTTATATATAGTAGGTGCTAAATAAGTGCTTATTGAATAGAACTCAATCTTTTCTTTGACTTATTTTGTGATAGTTAGAAAAGCAGTAACTTGAATGTGCTTTTGAGATTATAGTTTGTGCTGAAGTAGCCCTTGCCAAGCTTGAGGGCCCAGAGGTTGAGGGGCTTTCCAAAGGCAGAGCCAAAATCCATGATGGAGAGAATTTAGAGGTGCCCACTTACCAACTAAAAGTTTTTTTTTTTACTTTATCAAAAGAAATTGATGAATATTACCAAAGGTCCTGGTAACCCTTAAAAAAAAAAACCAACCCTATCTTTAAAATAGACCATATAGTACCACTGTTAGTTAAACTTTCTCAACTTGTAGGTACTCACACGCTTGTTGTAGATTGGTTACTTATGGGGCCCTCATTTTCATGGGGAAAATGCAAAAAGGCAATGGAGAACAAATTAGAGTCAGGGCTAGAAAGGTGGCCCCTAACAGATGTCTCCTTTTCCTTTTTTTCACTGCTATAAATATTCAACTGCACTGGAGGGGGAATGGTGTTAATTTTACAATTAACCAAGAGGAAGGAGGCTTTTCTGAAACTTTACTTAGTACTCTACCAATCCCTACCATCATGAGAAGTTACAGAAACACTTCAGAAAAAGTCCTTTTGATATCCTTTCAACTTCTGACATCACTATAATGTCATCAAAATGCTGATGGCTGCAAATTTTCTTCTTGGCGTGCAAAGTCTTAGGCTGGATTTCCCTGAAATGGCCGGGAAGTTTTCCAAGGAGCGCTAAGGACCATTGTAGCTTCTACCGTGGGACCTGAAGTGTGATCAAGTTTTATCACCTCCAGAAGGAGATGTACTTAAAGTCAAAGTCTAATAGTAATGCATCAGATCACATCTGACTGTCCATCCTCCTTGCCACACCCTCCCCCCCCAACCATTTATTTGCCATTTACTCTGTTTCTGTTGCTTTTGTACGACTAGATCTCCTACGACCATGACCTGGAGTGACTTAAGACACTCAGCTTTTAAACCATTGTCCTGGGGCTTTTGCCCTCCTGTCTAGAGTGTTTGTATGAGTGCACGTGGTCCACTGTAACTAGCCAGTCCCAGACCTCAGAACATGCTTCACATTCCATCTGATTTTCCACCCTAGCCATTTCCTCTGCTGCTTTTTGTATACACCCTCCAACCTCCCTCTTCCTAGGACAGAGACTTTCTACCTCAAGCCTTAAGGATAGTAATGAAGACTGCACTTGTGTAACCCATATCAAATTTCTTGCTTTCTTAATGAGGGAGGAGGAAATAGGGGGAGGGAAAGGATTTGGAACTTGAATTTTAGAAAATGAATATTAAAAATTGTTTTATATGCAATTGAAAAAATAAAATATTAAGAATAGTAATGAAATCAACACTACCATTATTTTTGGAAAGGGCTTTTCATTGGACTATTCCATGGCTCTACTTATCATGTTGTTGTTTGTCTTTCATTTTTGAAGAAGACCAATGACATCACAGGTGTTGTCTTGACTTGTGAGTAAATTGGATTTCAGTGAGGCAAAGTTACACAAAGTTGTCAGCTCACTCTCTCTTCCAGAGTCATTAAAGTCCAGTGGCCAGATAAAAGTCAAGATGACTAGTGATAGTGTAGGCTGCAGTGGGATGACCTTGGGTCTTTGATATCTGACCAAGCTCTAAGTTCTTCACAGTGCCTGCCTCAGCTGCCTTCATGGCTATTGGAACAAATTGTTCTCATCTGCCCATTCTGCTGGAAGAAGTCTTCACATGCTTGGGGTAGACACCCCCTGACTCACTGAGAGGACCTATCAGTTATCCTCAACTTGGTTTAGCCTCTCTGCTTAGGTGGTTTGTGGCTGCTGTGAATGCAAAAGCTTCTTGGAGCCACAGGTGAGAGTTGGGTGAATCAAGGGAACTCCAAAGTGGATGAGCAGTCATGTGAAGGGCTTGGCAAGCCCTCACACCAGAGATGCTAGTTCTCCCTGAACAAGGGTCATCCCTGTTCCTTTCCAAACCAAAACACCCTTCCCCACCTACTTTCATGTGTTGTCTCTCTTACTAGAACGTAACCTTCTTGTGGGCAGAAACTGTCTTCTTTTTGTGGTTGCATTCTCAGTGCTAAGCACAGTGTTTGGCATATAGTAATTGCTTAATAAACAATTTTATTTTATTCATTCATTCATCAGTTTAAGAAAAGAATACTCTCTTCTCAGAAGCATAGAATATTATAGCTGGAAGCGACCATAATTGGACTCTGTGCTACATTGTACTAGATCTTGGGTTTACAAAGAATGAAAAAATTCCCGCTCTTGAGTTTACTTTCTATCAGGGAGACAGCATGTCTGTATATGTTATATATGTATGTATATGCATGTATACACACATATATATGTGTGCATATATATACATGTACATATGTGTGTAATATTATAAATTATATTATGACATTATATAGGCTGTGTGTATATGTAATATACACACATATACACACATCTAAATTCAAAATAAATCCAAGGTAGTTAAGGAGGGAGGGAACTATCAGTTGGGGGATGAGGAGGCTTAAAGTAAATAAATGATTCTATGAGGAAGAGGTTAGGAGGAGGTGCCCTCCAGATACAGGGGATGGTCAGTTCAAAGACACAGAGACAAAGGATGGAAGTTGTATGTGAGGAGAGCAAGAAGACCCATTTGTCTGGATCACTGAGTGTGCAAAAGTTAGACTGGGGTTAAATTGTGAATGACTTTTAAAAATAAACAGAGCACTTTTCCTTTTTTTCTGGAAGCAATAGGGGACCACTGGAGTTCATTGTGTAGTAGAGTGACATAGTCATATCTGAGTTTAAGGAACATTATTTTAGGAGATATGAGGAGGGTGGATTGAGGTAAGGAGAGACTTGATATAGGAAGATCAATGAAGAGGTCACGGCAATAGGCGAGGCAAGAGGTGATGAGGGCCTGAACTACGGTGGTGACTGTATAAATAGAGAATGGATGTGAGAGATGTTGCAATGGTAGAAATGGCAAAATTTGGCAATTGATTAGATATATGAGGTGAGAGAGAGAGAGTCAAGGATAGCGCTGAGGTTACAAACCTTGAGGACTGAAAGAATGGTGGTACCCTCAATGGAAATA